TTAACTGATAACTCCACTCCATTGTTCAAAAATTTCTGATGAATAATGATTCAAGGCTGTCACTGAAAACGGTATGTCCAATTTTTTCACTTTTCAATTTTATTTTTTCATTATCTATCATCTGAATCTTAGAATTTGATTATCTAATTAGGGTGTGTCACTGTCACACTGTGTTGTTGAAATCGTTTATGGAATCGGACATACTTATAATAGAGATATCAAAACTGATTATCTAATTAGGGTTAATAGTTAAAGTTGATTAGGGTTAATGTTTTTCAGTTTTTATTTTTTCATTTATCTGATTTTTGATTATATTCTTCATTGATTACAATAGATTACATAATATATGAATCAGGTTTGAACGAATTTCAGAATTTGAGATTTAGACTTCAGTTTTCCAGATTTGAGCTTTCCATTATCTTCTAAAGTTCTATTATCAAATCTTAAGGTAGCAGGTATAATCATAAATTCCTAATTGGCTAATCCATACATTCTATACTTATAGTAGTTGTCTTGGTGATTGTTCATTGTTATTATTAATAAAATAATTAGTAATCATGCCAAAGGGCCCCAACTTTTTCGTTCGCTTAGAGCCCCCAAACTGGCTGAGCCGGCCCTGCATATACTAGATCCATTAGTCCTTCACTTGCGACACATAAGCGTGTGAACAATGAATTAAGTCATAATTTTCCAATGAACAAGATTTTCATATATTATACAATTTACCTTGTACAACACCAAGTATCTGTCCAGATGGCGATGAGATATCTTTTCACTTGTTCAATTACGACAATACCATAAGCGGTATCATAAGAATCAAATCCATAATTAATATTTATATTATTAGAAACATTACCAACACTTTCATTAATGTAATCGCAAGGAAATACGGTGAGGCAACTACGTAAACCAAAATTTCGCTTTTTATTGAAATAAAATGAAAACTGGAACTTGTCCTTACAATGCATGAAATAAAAACTATATTTCTAAACTTGTCCGAAGAGTAATAGTAATCTATTAAATTATCTTAACTCTCGAGTAGTAGCTCTAAATTCTGACCATCGAACCATGTGACCAAAGTCCATCTTTCACGATCAGATTTAGCTAACTTAAGCTTCCTTCTTCATTTTAGATCCTACAATTGTGACATCCCCAAATTCACGGTCATTTTAAAAATTTTATTTATGCTTATTTAAAATAAGAGTATCCATTTTGAAAAGTAGTATTGCGGAATTTGTTCTCAGAAAAACATGATAATAATATTATCATAGAAATATAAACAAATTAAATAAAAATAATAATAAATAATAGACGAAGCTACATAAATGGTCCCTGTGGCTGAAACAAAGTACATAAATGGTCCATGTGGCTGAAACAAAGTACATAAATGGTCCTTATGACAGGAAGGGAAAATGTGTCATTTCACAAGTAACTTAACTGAAAAAGTTAACAGCGTTAGCCAAAAAATACTATCTTTGCAAGATTTTGAAACCATAAGGACCATCTATGCATAAAATTTGTCATAAGGACCATAGTTTGTCAATTGTGTCAACCACAAGGACCATTTATGCAATTTTGTCTAATTTCTTTGACCTTTTTATATAGGGTTGTAAATGAACCGAACAAACACGGACAAGAGCTTGTTCATGTTCGTTCGTTTAAGTTAGCCGAACAAACGAACGAACATAAACGGATAAACGAACGAGTTTTTTTCTTCATGTTCGTTTGTTTAACAAATTTCTTGTTCATGTTCGTGAACATGCTAAACAAACTTAAATGAACAAAGATAAACAAACACAATTGAACATATATAAACAAAACGAACATATAATATAGTAATATAATAAAAAACGGTTGAACATATATGAACATAAATAAACTTAGTCAAACGAACATAAACGAACAACATAACTAAACATTTATGAACATAAATGAATGAACAAGACCATTGTTCATGTTCGTTCGTTTAACTAAACGAACGAAAATTTGTGTTGATGTTCGTTCATTTATTAAATAAACGAATATAAATGAACTTCCCGTCAAACGATTCATGAACTGTTCACCGAATGTTCGATTCGTTTACAACCCTGTTTCCATCACATTGAAAGACTATGATGTGATTATTTTGAATGGTTGGACCCACAGACAATGATTATTATCGGCTTACACTATTTGGTATCAATTGTGTGTTGAATTGAAGGAGGACCATGATGGGACGATTAGGATTGACTTAAAATTCAAAGAAATGGAGGTGAAAATGTTCGAATATAAGGAAATTTTGCAAAAGGAAGTTATATTGATGAAGAAGATGTTTAGTTTAACTTATTTTTGCAGAAGGAAGTGGTATTAATGGAGTTGAAAATGCTTATTTATACTCCTAAAAATGTATTTATATAATGTTTAGTTAGTTTTTTTCTCGTGTATAAATATATATTTTTTTCGCATGAATTCGTATAATATTTATAAAAAAATACTTAAGTTAAAAACATAAAATATTTGTAAACTTTAGGGTTTGTTCTGCAAATTTGATTTCATTGTAACCGGATGACGTTATTACATGTTATAAGGGCGAAAATTTAAAAAAAAATAGAAAAAAAAAAAGCAAACTTTGTACATTAATGAATACAAAATCATCATAAGGATAAATCCGACAAGATTTAACAAACTTTAAAGACTTTTATATCAAAAACACATCTTCTTATTTTATTTTTTTTTTACTTTTTATTTATTTGTAATGGGATCATTTATAATAGAAACTGGCGGCCCTTTGTACAATCCATGTGTTTTTGTTTGTTGTACTTACATTCCTAAGTCATAGTGATTCTATTCAATCGACCACAAATGGAATCTATTGGTTGACCATAGATACCAAATAATTTCCGTAGAATAAGCAAGAGAATATGCTGGTGTTCATTTTTATTACCCACATGGGTCATGTTTCCATAAACAGGGCATGATCACAAGCACGTAAATAACATATTACTAAGGTCCTAATTTAGGCTGTCAAAGTCTTTGACGCGTCACAGTTAGTTGATAAGTTAGTTTATTTTTTGAGCTTTTTCAAATTGACATGTTTGACAAGTCAAAAAACATCTTGTAGTTTTTTAAAAAGCGACTCAGACTAGTTTTTCAGAAGCTTTTTTAAAATCCTCGAATATACCCTTAAATAATTATAAGATATTCCTTTAAATGTCCTTTTATGCCATTTTATATCTTTCAGCTAGCTTATCAACTACTTTTTACCAAACGTCATTTTTTTAAGATAGCTTATATGCTAACAGTAGGGTTGTAAACGAACCGAACGAACACGAATGAGGGCTTGTTCATATTCATTCGTTTAAGTTAACCGAACAAATGAACGAACACGAACGGACAAACGAACGAGTTTTTTTTATTCATGTTCGTTTGTTTAACAAATTGCATTGTTCATGTTCGCTCGTTTAGTTTATGTTCATGAGCATTCTAAATGAGCATAAACAAAAGAACATAAATGAACAAAGATAAATAATCTTAATTGAATATATATGAACACAAATAAACATATAATATAATAACGTAATCAAACACAATTAAACATATATGAATATAAAATGAACTTATATTAATGAACATAAACGAACGTAAATAAACAACATAAGCGAACATAATTGAACAAATGAGACCCTTGTTCATGTTCGTTTGTTTAACTAAACGAACAATAATTTGCGTTCATGTTCGTTCATTTATTAAATAAATGAACATAAACGAACTTTCCGTCGAACGATTCACAAATAGTTCGTTGAGCGTTCATTTCGTTTACAACCCCAACTAACAGCTACCTTTTCAGTTAACAACTAGCTTTTCAGCTACTTTGTCAAACATAGCCTTAATGGTTCCATTCAGAGACAACCTCTAAATAGTCCACCCATTAACAAACATTTTATTCATCTAATTTGAACATCTTAATCGATGAGAGACATTTGGACCAATCAACTAGAACCTTTTAGAAAGTTATTCCTTTCTCTCTCTAAATAACAATCTCTAGAAAGTAGAAACATCCACTCCACCATATTGTTGTCCTCACCATCTCTACCATAGCCGCTACCCTCACCACCAACATACTTGGCCACTACCCCTCGCCACCTCCGGTGGCGGATCTATAATCAACACCAACCGGGGTCATTTATATATAAATGATAAACATAATGCAAATTAAATTTAAAAATTGAGTTTTTTTAGGTTTTGTTGGGTTTAATCAACAAGAATGGGTGCAAAAAAAATTAAATGGGGCCAATTATACAATTTCATAATATTATTATTATTATTATTATTATTATTTTGCTAAAATACTATATGGAGGCTATTTTTAAGTGGATTCATACATCCTAGAGTCGCCAACGATGTCGTAGTCCTTCCATCTGTTGTAAGTTTCTTATTTGCCTTTCCGAAAGCTTGTGAACTTTGATTTTTCTTTGTGAAATCGTTTTGTTTGTGAAATCTGGTTTCTTTCTTTCTGAATATCGTTGATTCATGAGTTCTTAGATTCACAAGTTCTTAGAATTATTTTGATGCAACTATGATCAGATACAGTTCGCTTTAGGGTTAACCCTAACGACTTTATAAAACATGTCTTATTAATAAGCCCATAATATCTTCTGTTTGTGAGCGATATGAGATAAGTATCAATACACCCTCACATAAGGGTCCTTCTATAAGGAACCGACATATCATATTTTCTTAACATTTCTTAATTATGTTAGATTTCTTTTGTTGTTGAATCATCAAGTTCAAGCAGAAGCCACCGAGTTTAAGCCTTCCATCAGATTCACAAGTTCTTAAAGATGGAAAACAAATATATAACATGGCACCCGAATTATGTATCCATTGAAATTTAAACTGAAATAAATTTTTTAAGTGTTTATAGTTTTGTGTTCTTGGTGCATCTTCATGTTTTGATTTGGAAACTACAAAAATTCAACATATTACGCAAACATGAACAGAGGAAACCAGTTGATAATGTGCGAATTTCCATTATACAAATCAACCCGTATGATTTGAAAATTTTGCAACACGTAAGATGTAATGTAAATCAATGGCATGTGGTAGAGTTGGAATAAAAAAAATAGCATAAATGTTACACCAAATTAAACTACTCTGATACCAAAATTGTTGATTGGAGGAACGACAAACGTGTTTTTGTCAGATTCAATTTTTCTTCTGCCTCTGACGCCTTTTCACGGACCCCACGAACAACATCCTCTGGAGCTTTCTCAACAAACTGTATCAAGTACACAAATTACATAAAAGTTAAATGCAAGAAATATCAACTTACTTTCGTTTTTTGTTTATTAAATAAAGAAATAAATGAAAGTAAGTTGTTATTTCTTGCATACATACATTAGGAGAACTCAATCGAGCCAAAAGTCCATCATATTCATTTTGCATTTTTAAAAGGCGCTTTGATAGCCTTTGAACTTCTGCTGATATATCCACCATGTCTGCAAGTGGAAGATATGCCTCTAAACCCTCTCCAGCAACAAGATGCACACATTGATTCACATCCTCTGAACCATTTTAAAATAATTAAATATATAAAAATAATAATATTTAGTTAACAATATACTTTAAAACACACAAACACCTGGGGGCGAATCTGTAAAATTGATGCTTTGTGTATCGAGTCTTGAGAGAAGAGCTAATACATCCTTTTCTTTCTGCAACATAAAATATTTATAAAAATAAAAAAAGTAAAGTATGTTGCTATTTTGTGAAATTAAGAGGGAGTTGGATGCTTACAGAAATATATTGGATGACATCAGGATTAGCAACGATGTTTGCAGAAATACGTTTTGCGGGCTCCACGGAATATTCTGCTCTTGTGTTTCTTATTGCACGTGTCTAAAAAATTATGAGATGATGGATTATTTAATTTTGAGTAAATTACACGAATGGTCCCTATGGTTTGGGGTAATTTGCACCTTTGGTCCCTAACTTATTTTTTTAACTCGGAAGGTCCCTACAGTTTGTTTTTGTTGTGCGTTTGGTCCCTGTCTTACCAAAAAAGACTATTTTGCCCTTGATTTTTTTAATTTATTTAAATTAGGTGAAGTAGGTAAGATAAAGTAATGTGAGGTGGAAGTGGGGTTGAGGGTGTGTTTATTCAAATAAATTAAAAAAATCAAGGGCAAAATAGTCTTTTTTGGTAAGACAGGGACCAAACGCACAACAAAAACAAACTGTAGGGACCTTCCGAGTTAAAAAAATAAGTTAGGGACCAAAGGTGCAAATTACCCCAAACCATAGGGACCATTCGTGTAATTTACTCATTAATTTTTATAAAAGTAAATATGAAAATGATGAGAGCTCACCAAAGCTTGCAAGTTTTCAAATCTTTTTATGGAAGTTAGATTCCTTGGAAGTGAAGGAAGAGGCCATGGAGATATTATTAGAGCTTCTTTCCTATTTGGTAGTGCCTTCAAGAAATAGCAATGTACTTTCATCCATTTGTTTAATAAATTATAGAAATTAATAGAAATCGTCACTGATCAATGTAAAATGACTATTATACCCTTATCTGTTATCTGTTTATTACTACTTTTTTATTATTTAGTTAAAAATAACAACTCTAAAACAATAAACAAATAAAAAAATCAGACAAGGGTATAATGGTCATTTTACCTGCCATAACTCTTCTGTGACAAAAGGCATGAAAGGATGGAGCATTTTTAATATGTTTTCATAAACATATAAAAGAACTGCTTGTGAAGTAGAGGAAACTGCTTCATTTTCTGATTGGTAAAGATGAGCTTTACTTGCTTCGATATACCTGTAAAAAAAATATTAAAATAAAGATTTTTATTTCCCAATTTGAAATTTTTAATCAAGAAATATAAATTGAGAAAAATTTGACATACCAATCAGCAAATTCACCCCAAAAGAACTCGTATATTTCACGTGCAACATCATTATAAAAATATTTGTCATAACTTGTTGTCACTGCATCAATAAGCACATGCAGTTTTGAAACCTGAATTTTAAAATCAAATTAATCACCAAACATAATAAATAATAATTTAATAACAATAATAATAATAAAAGAATCTGTCTTACCACCCAACACTCTGGTAAAGGCAGTGTGAGAAGGTACTCTTCTTTATCAAACTAAGAAAAAAGTTAAATGCATGAATAGACAGAGTAAATACATGGTCAAAGTTTTAAGGTGGTGAAATTACTAAAATAACCTTATGGGCAAGTAGCCTCTCCCATGCGGATTCATCACTTCTATTTGGTAAATTTTGAAGAACAAACTTTCCAGCATTCCATAATTTATTGGTGAATGCCTTGTTTGATGTTAGTCTCTCAGTTGATAAATTTAAATCCTTGAATCAAAAAACATCAAACATAAATTAATAAGTAGTTAATAAGTTGGTGAAATATGAAAATACACTAGAAATAATATCAAAGAGTAAATTACAAAAATGTCCCCTGTGCTTTCTGATTCTTTTTATTACTTTTGGTCCATATTTTATTACAAGGACAAAATTCGATAGAAACCGTGAAGTAACTTTCAATTTTGGACTAAACATGGTAACAATCAAAAAGCAGAAGGACCAGTTTTGTAATTTACTTAAATGTAGAAAAAGATAAAAAAGCAAACCTGGCCCACAGTTCCTAAAGCAAGAGTAAAACGCAAAGCATCAGTGCCAAATTCTTTCATTGTGTCTAAAGGATCTACGACATTTCCCAATGATTTAGACATTTTTCGCCCCTGAAATAGTTTTTTTTATTATAAAATATAAACTTAGAAATGATTATGTTATAACAAATATGGATCATTTTCAAGATTTTTAATTTTAAAATTGTATTATGCTCACTTGAGAATCACGAATAAGTCCATGTAAATAGACATGTGTAAATGGGACACTCCCTGTGAACTCAATCCCCATCATCACCATACGTGCAACCCAAAAAAACAATATGTCATGCCTGTTTAAAAGTTATAAAAAATTATTGTTTTTCTTTATAAAAAAAATGAAAGAAGTAGAAAAATACTAAATGTCTAAATACATATTACATACCCTGTTTCAAGAACTGATGTAGGGTAGAAGTGTTTGAAATCCTCTGAAGACACATCAGGCCATCCCAAAGTGCTAAAGGGCCATAAAGAACTAAAAAAATCCCAAAAGGGTATTTTAGACATAAAAATTTAAAAGTAATGAAAGTGAATTAAGGTTTGTTATGTGAACAAACCTTGAAAACCAGGTGTCAAGAACATCTGGATCTTGATATATTTCGACATTTTTTCCATATTTCTTTTGAGCTTTTTTAAGAGCTTCATCTTCATTTTTAGCAACTATATAATCTTCTTCACAATCTTTTCCAACAATATACCAAACAGGAATCCGGTGTCCCCACCATAATTGTCTGCTTATACACCAATCTTTTATATTTGAAAGCCAATGATTATATATCTGAATACCAAAAAATACATATTTTATATTTAAATTCAGTCTTGAAGTTTTTTAATCCAAGATATAAAGGAAATAATATATTAATACCTTTTCAAATCTCTCGGGCATAATGGTCAATTCACCTTTTTTCACTGCCTCAAGAGCCTTCTCAGCTAAAGGCTCCATTGTCACAAACCACTGTTTGCTCACTAAAGGCTCTATGATCTGATTCAAGAAAACAAATTAACATAAAACCCAGTTGCAAATGAATAAAAAGATCCTTAAAAATTAAAAATTTAACTCACTTCTCCACCTCTTTGAGATCTTGGAACTCTTGAAGTGTGAGCTTCTTTCTTGATACCTAAGCCTGTTTCCTCAAGTTCTGCCCATAATTTCTTTCGGGCCTCGAATCGATCAAGCCCACTGATATAAAATATGTTAAAATTTTATTTTTTTTTAACAATTTTAGAAATGAATTTCATAACTCACTTGTATAATCCAGCAACCTCATTGAGTGTTCCATCTTTGTTCATGACATTGAGTATAGGAAGACCTAATTTTCTTGCAAGAAGGTAATCATTGTGATCATGTCCAGGGCTTATCTTTAATACACCAGTTCCAAAGTCTTTATCTACATACTGCATATAAATTGTATCAAAACATGATGTTTTTTAAGTTTTTTGAAACAAAATATTTTTTTTTTCAATTATTTCTAAGTAACATTAGTACCTTGTCAGCAATAATTGGGACATGGCGTCCAAATGTCATTGGAACAATGGCTGACTTTCCAATGTATTTAGCATATCTTTCATCCTGTAGATAAAAATGACCAAATTGACCACTTGTTTACCCTTTTAACAAACTGAGAATTATAATTTTGTTTGATTTAAACATTTATACCTCAGGATTAACTGCAATAGCTGTATCACCAAATAAAGTTTCAGGCCTTGTGGTTGCTATTGTTAGAAAGTCACTCCTAAATGTAGAAATAAGCAAACACAAATATGGGTTACCTTTTGATGAACATTTTAATTCATGGAACAAAAAAAAAACTTTATAAATATGATTATTTAATAAAAACATTGAGTGTTACCTTGATCCACCAGCAACACGATACTTGATGTGATATAGAGAACCAGGTTCTTCAGAATATTCAACTTCCTAAGAAGGCATGGATGATGTCATGTTAATTTGGAAGGTTGTGCAGGAAGAGAAAACCTATTGAGGTCAATATACCAGGTCAGAAACTGCAGTCTGTAAATTTGGAGACCAGTTGACCATGTAAGACCCTGAAATATGAAAGATCAATTGACTCAGTAATATATTTTATCCAAAAGGTCAAATGAATTTGATTAAGTTTTCATAATTTAAGAACATGGAAGTGATCTGTGATCAATACCTTGGTAGATAAGCCCTTTCTCATGAAGCTTAATGAAGGCCTCAATAACAGCTCCTGCAAAAGTCAAGAAGAAAGTAATTCAAGAAATGTTAGATAATTAATGTTATGATACAGATACTGAGTAAATATGTAGACTTCAATACACATTTAGACCAAATAATAGCATACTTAACATTCAGAATTAACTATTTAAAGTTTAAACATAGTTTCTGAGATTATTAGGTTTATAATTTGATGGAATATCATCTTACGACTTAGCTGTTCATCAAGTGTGAAATGTTCTCTGGTCCAATCACAAGAAGCACCAAGTCGCCTTATCTGATTTGTAATGGTTCCTCCATACTTCTCCTTCCATTCCCAAACTCTCTTTGTGAACTCTTCTCTACCTAATTCAACCCTCTTTATTCCTTCAGAAGCCAACATTCTTTCAACAACCAACTGAAAACAATATCTGTTAGATATATACGATATTAACTAAGTAGACTAAGAATACAATAAACAGAAATCCGTTTGTAGAAAAACTCAAACCTGAGTTGCAATGCCAGCATGATCAGTTCCAGGGAGCCAGAGTGTAGGTCTGCCCTTCATCCTGTTGTATCTGATCATAATATCCTGGAACACAATTGCAGATATGAATGGTTTGTTTATTTACACATTGAATGAAGAAAAAATGATGAATTTTACAAAGTTTTTATGTGAATCTATGTTGTTAGTAAACATTTACCAAACCTCAAGAGTCACAAACATAGCATGTCCCATGTGCAATGAACCAGTCACGTTTGGAGGTGGCATTGTGACAATAAAAGGTTCACTTCCCTTATCAAAGTTTGGCTTGAAATACCCTTGGGAATCCCACCTAGAAGCAATCAATGGTTAATACATAGAAATGATGATATGAGAATCATTTTTTTCAGTTAATACGAAACATGGCACATTCGATCAAAAGTAATACCAGTTGTATATCCGTTCCTCGGAAGTAAAGTCAAAAGATTTTGCTGTCTCGGGAGAAGTAAATACGCCATTGTCTGATGCAGCAGCTAAAAATTTTAATTAAACAAAAGAATTGGATACAAATTAGAACATCCCGATGAAAATATGCCTTCTAAAAGCTCAAATTATTGTTTTTTTTAAGACAACAGTTTTCGAAGTAAATTGGATTACCTGCAAAAAACCTTGGTTTGAGGATACGAAGATGAAACCGAGATAAAGCGATACTACGACGCCGATGGGAGAAGAGAACAGGATTCAGTTTGTATAAAGAGGAAGGAGATAAGAGATATGTATTGGAGAACGCCATTGAAGCGTGACAGAAAACAAAACCCCTTGTAACGCTATTTGGGGTTTTAGTGGCAGAGAAGTGAAAACAGAAGCCGCGGGGAAGATAAAGTTGAGCAGTAAATATTTTACATAATCGCCCTTTTAAATACGATATATACCACTTGCCCCCTCAAGGTCAATCATCTTAAACAAACTAAAAATGAAGACACACATGACACACGTCATATTAGGAGACAGGGAGACCCAATGGTATGGAGTATGGAGTTATGGACTATGGAGTGAAAGGAAGCATGTATGATGTTGTGAGCTCATTTACTTCAAATTATCAATACACTCATTTTTTTCTTTGACAAAATCAATGTTTCTTTCTTGTTGTTTACAAATAACAATTTTAATCCAATTTTGCATTTTGTTACACATACAATCTCTGTGGTTTATTTTTATTAGTTTTAGAAAAAACAATTACCACTTATGTGGAGACGTAAACAGAGGGTTACAAATGGGTTTACATGGGAAACGAAGTCCCTATATTTGCTCTTATTGTAAAGTCTTTGTCCCTATATTTGATCATAATGTGGGTGTAACTTGTTTATGTGTAATGTCCTAATTTTGTTATACATATTAATTTCTTAGATGTTTTCTCAAATCAAACCTAGGAAAAACTCTTATTATAACTTAAGTCAAATGATAACGTGAGATAAACAATGTAGCAAAAGTTTTAAACTTAATTAAAAATACTAAATACGAAAATACTTTTCTTTAAACTAATGATAAAATTACTTTTTGTAAAACACAAAATAAAATATAAAGCGGGAGACTTAAAGGTCATAAACATTATTGTCGAGCGCGATGTAGTTAGGTCGAATCTCGTACTTTCATGAAAAATATTAATAAACAACGGGTAAGCATAAAGCTTAGTGAACATACACATTACTCTATCATTATATAGATAACTTACCAACACATAACTTTCATATTACATAACACACAAATAATATAGGTAACAACCGTATTACATTCCTAGCAAATAATATAGGTATCAACCATAACATTCATATTACCAACACATATTACATTCCTAGCAGATAATATAGGTACCAACCATAACCTTAATCCCCCTTTCAAGAAGGAGATAAGAAATAAGAGTGAAATTTGTCTCACTTGAGAACAAACTACATTATGTCTTTTTTTACTCTACCACATTATGGTGTATATGAACAATAACATATAATATATATATATATATATATATATATATATATATATATATATATATATAATAGGAGAGTTAGTGTAACTCACCCGATCTGAAGATGTTTGAAATCTCTACCGGATGTGGACTACGAAGTAGCCACGCTCTAATTAACCTACACAACAGTTATAACATTACTTAACTTGTGATTTATGACTTTACTCTTAAGATACTTATATTCGTTTTACTTTAATTTCACTTTGATTGTAGTGTTCAGTTCGGGACCTGTTTTCTCATCCTTCAACCCATTATTTAATCCTTATTAAATTATATTATTATAGTTCCCTTTCTTACCTTTCCATGGATGTAAATATCTCACCCTGATGATTTTTAGTTGATTTAATATCAGTTTTACAAGTTAACATCTTTAAGTTGTAACTTTTCTGGACCCACTTGTAAATGTGGTAACTTTTACTCTAGGGAGAGTAAAATTCAAGTCTTGGGAAAATACATGGTAAACATCACACTCACACCTTAGCCTCTGGCTTAACATTAATTAGCGTTTCGTATAATTAAGTGTGCACACCACAAGAAGAGGAATCGAATATTGTTGAAAATGGTTCGATCATAGATGAGTCATACTTTGTTCCAATCAAGTTTTAAAGTCATACTCTAGTAACTACAAGTCGTATCTTGAAACTCATTTATAACTAAGAAGGCTAAAAACACCTCGAAATATGTGGATTAAAAATGTTTTCATAATCTAGCATATATAGAATTGGAGTTGTGATGTTTTTGTTAATCGAGAAACAAAGGATAAGTTGAGACCTATTCTGTGAAGTGTTTTCTTGTCGGGAATCCACATAAACATTTGAATATCTGTTTTAGCTCGTCAAGGAATGTTCCTTGAGAGAAAACTCATATGTCAAGAAGTTAGTGGGATTCGTATTGATCTTGAGAGTTTCAAGAGTCAGCTGGCAATAAACCTTTTAGTTATCACTAGTACGGGACATGAGGTTGAAAAATGATAACCTATCGTGTTTGGTTAACACATTCTTATTTATGTGCACTTCTAGTTGAGTTGGAAATGCTTATGAGTTCTATGTTTTCATTTAACTGCAAAAAGTGAAAAGCACATTGGTCAGTGAAAGTACATTGATCGATATGGGTGAGCTGCTGACAACACAGAAGCACTAGTAGGCCCTTGTGCTACCATAGGACAAGAAATTTAGAATAGAGAAGCTCAGTCCATGTGTAACAACCCAATTTTCAAAAGAAAATTTTCATTTTTAAATAGTCAAAACATTCCCAATAAACCATAAAATCTCAAGTACATTTGTTTCAAATTCATAACATTAACATTTTATTCAAAACATCAGAGTGTCCCATAAAAAACGTCTGAGAGAGAGTGCATATCACGTCATCAAACCTTGCCCTTGCCCTTAGGCTCAGATGTACCTGAAACAAATCCACAAACTGTAAGCTACTGCTTAGTGAGTTCCCCAGAGCATACCCCACACAATCCACATAATCATATAATCATATCAGCTATAACAGCTACATAAACCACACAAGCCATGCATACAAACATATAAGGAAGCCATGGAAACCCTCCAGGGTCTTACACTTAGTGCCACTGGAACCCCCACGTGGTCTTAACTTCCTGCCATGGGAACCCTCACATGGTCTCCCTGCCATGGGAACCCCCACATGGTCTTCACTAACTGCCATGGGAACCCCCACATGGTCTTCATAACCAAGCAAATATCATACAAACTAAACATGCAAATATACTAGGATGTCATGGAAACCCTCCAAGGTCTTACACCAAATGTCATGGGAACCCCCACATGGTCTCAATCTACTGCCACGAGAACCCCCCGGGGTCTTCCATGCAAATGTCATACTAACATAACGCATAATCAAAATCCACATATCATAAAATGGGTCCGTCTTGGTGCCTTAGACCCACTGGTATGGTGAGAAGACTTACCTCTCGTGAATTAACTTGTCACACCTTCCTATAAGCATCATGTGATTAACTTGTCACAATCCTGAAATACCATAAATACCCTCAAAGTCAACCCTGGTTACAGTCAAGGTCAACAGTCCATGTTGATCTCAACTCATCAAGTGCATCCAGCAACTAGTCGAGTTCCTTCAGAGTCCATACAACCGAAATCCTGAGTCAACTCGCCGAGTCACCTGCGTAACTCGTCGAGTTCCTTTAATGTCCAGAAGACCGAAAACTCATGCGGACCAAAAACTCTAATCCTTCACTGAACTTCCTCAGAATCTCGAAAACGAGTAAACCCTACCCGACTCGTCGAGTTGGCTAAGCGACTCGTCGAGTTGGCTAAGCAACTCATCGAGTCCCTCTAGCCCTTTTTGTGTTCAGTCCTTTCCAGTGGGATCCAAGGTCCCAAACTTCATATCCAAATCCTTCTAGTGTAGTTACCATGTAAAGTTGCAAACTTTATGTGCATGCAAGGCCTCACAAGGCTAAAACACTAAAACTAAGGTTCCTACAAGGTTTTTGTCACACCCCCAAACCGGAACGGCGGAAACGTTCGGGGATGGATGACTTCATGTTAAGTATCACAACACATGCATCATAGTAATCAAAGTAACAACAACCATCGTATTGATAATATAATATTTACATTATGTTCAAAACATTACTTGAAATACATTAAAAGTACAACAAAAGTTAAGACGTAAAACTCCGTCTTCGCAGCGCCTGAGAGAGTACCTATCTACTAACGATCCTGAGAATACAAGTGGTTTGGAAAAAGTGTCAACATTAAAGTTGGTGAGTTCATAAGTATATTTGTTACAGAAAGTATATTCTTTATTCTTTTGAAAAGTTCGCTAGTTCCTCAGAAAATCATTTAATTTCTGCTGATAAATGATAAGTAAAACGACTCATGATTGTTCCTTCTATGAGTACTTAGTGAATACAAGTCATATACATTCAGATCGAACAGACAGTCGACTGTGTGGTTCTACCCCAAGCCCACAACCAAACAAGGAATAGGAAATGAGGCGGAATCCACACATCCCACTATCTGTCGGATCCTCATGTATATAACCCTAATGTATTGAATAAGTACTTTTAACATTAAGTTTAATGATCCTTTATATTGAACGAAAATGTCCTTTAAGAAAATCCTATATTTTCTTATAAGTAAGATGAATGTAGTTAATGCTTCTGTAATCATTCAGTGAATACTAATTATATATAATACAGATCGATTAGACAGTTGAATGTGTGAATCTGCCCTAAGCCCACAATCAAACAAGGAACAGGAAATGAGGCGGAAGTCACACATTCCACTGTCTACCGGATCTTTATTATATATAATCCTAATGTATTCATCAAGTAATTACATAATTAATGTTAACGAATCTCTGGTAAAATGGTAACCACAATAGTGTCTTCTATAATCACTTAGTTTATACTAACTATATATAACCTAATATTGAACGGACAGTTGAATGTGTGAATCTACCCTAAGCCCACAACCAAACAAGGAACAGGAAATGAGGCGGAAGTCACACATTCCACCGTCTACCGGATATTATTTATATATAATTAGGATGTATAAACTAAAGAATTATAGAATTAACCATTAAAGGTCCTTTATGTAATACTAGTTTAATAATAAATATTAAACCTTTTGAAATAAGTTCCTAGTTTACTTACTCTATTGTGAAACAATTTTTTCTGTGATAACTGCTATCGTTTTCAGAAAGTTCTATCGAAAACTGTTTACCTTTAGAAAAACGATATTAACTGTGACATCCCCAAATTTCACGGCCAGAAAAGACCGATTTGTTTATGCTTTATTTGAAAATCAGAGTATATTTTTAAATAAATATATTGCGAAATTTGTTCCC